AATGGTTATAAAGACTAATTTATATTATAATTGTTAATGGTTTCTACTAGGTAGATGCCCAGGTCAAAGAATCTCTCAAGCTAATGCTTTTTGGTGATCAACAAGAAGACTTTCCCGAATCACTTCTCCAATGGCTTGCATCCAATTTTGTGAGCAAAAGTGATCTGCAGACCTTGCTGCGGGATCTAGAGTTGCAAATCCTCAAGAATGTTACTCTCCATATGTCTGCTACAAACCAAAAACTAACATCTGAAGTAGTAACAAATGCTGTGACTAATGCAGGGATTTCTGGAATCACAGAAGCGGTGAGTGAGTTTAAGTTCTCAAAAGTTCAACTAAAACAGTAAAGAGCCCTTTTATAGGCATTTTGTGGACCCTGACTGACAATATAAATGTTAATTTAAGGGATGTCAGGAACATTAATTGAAATGGGAAGAACCACAGAAAATGCTTTACCGAGTGTATTCTTATGGCATTACTTGTTGCCAGTTGTGAACATTTATTTTTTTCAAAGTACGCTAGGGTCTTGGGAAGGTGAGGGAAAGGATGCAACTTTTGAAGAAAACACCAGTCAAGATGCACTGTGAATTTGCATTTTAAGACAGACAACCATGCGTTAAAAATAGCCTCTGTCAAGACAGATGCTTTCAAAGACTTGTGATTGGTGCAGCATCTCAAAAAGATGCTTGCAACTTCAGATGTGTATGTGTATCAATTATTTTATCACTTGATATCATTAAAATCTTTCCATTCTCCTCTTCTATGTGTACACCTGTAGCAAGCACAAATTATTGTAAACAATGCATTGAAACTCTACTCTCAAGACAAGACTGGTATGGTGGATTTCGCCTTGGAATCTGGAGGTAAATAGAGGAAACACCATTTTTACTATTCATGTTATTTGTAGTATTTACTAAAAATCTTAAAATGAAGACTAAAAGTTAGTAGAGCATCTTTGTGTGTTGCCTGATCATGAGACTACCACAGTCTGTGTGGTGTTTACAGGGTTATGTATCAGCCTAGGTACGGACAGATGGGGGTAGAACAGTTCTTTTGAAGCACACGTACAACTGGATAATAGAGAACCATGGATCTGTTTGTGTGAGGTGTGCACACCACTGAACTCACCAGGGAAAATGTGTGGGTTTTAAGCCCTCTTAAATGCAAAGCCTTTAATGTTCTTAAACACTACTTGATAGAAGCATTGTTTCCCCAGAAAATTATTAGACTTTAGCAATACCTTTAATAGGTTTTTTTCTGAGGAAAATAACTGGTATGTTCATTAAGCTTTGTACAAATCTCTGCCTTAAAACTTTTCAGGAAGAAATGAGTGATTTTCTGCTAATCTGGTATATCTTTTTTTTGAGGTGGCAGCATTCTGAGTACTCGCTGTTCTGAAACCTATGAGACCAAGACAGCATTAATTAGCCTCTTTGGAATTCCTCTGTGGTACTTCTCTCAGTCTCCCAGAGTGGTGATTCAGGTATGGAAAGGCCGAGTAAACAAATTCAGCAATGTTATTTTGTGTTGAGTGATTTGGGTTGGTTTTGGATGCTGGATGTTTCTGTCTGTAAGACGTTGGGGGGCAGGGGTACTTTGAACTATGTTCCCAAGAGTGGCATTCTTCTGGTAGTTCCTGGGCACTGCTTAAGTCCTACTCTAGCAAAATTAAGGCCCTTACAGGAGGCTTCGGTGGTGCACTGCACTTCTGCAAAGGGTGAGCACTGGGAGGGTTCCTATTGAGACATAATCTCAAGGTGGGTCTTCAAAACACTGCTGGTAGTTCAGGTGGATATGATGTCTTCCTGAAGAGTTCTACCGAATAGATTGTATTCCACCACTTACTAAGACTGTCCCTAATAATTCAGAATTCATTACAACTCCTTATTACAAAAAAAAAAAATCATTACAGAGTTCTTGTGGATGGGGTTTTTGTTGTTGCTGTTGTGTACCATCCTGTTCTCTTCCCCCTACTCCTGTCTAGCCGGACATGTATCCAGGAAACTGCTGGGCTTTCAAAGGATCACAGGGGTATCTTGTAGTTAGACTTTCAATGAAGATCTACCCAACTGCCTTTACAGTGGAACACATACCAAAAACACTTTCACCAACAGGAAACATCACCAGTGCTCCTAGGAACTTCTCAGTATATGTAAGTCTGTCTCTAAACTTAAGTTGGTGTTTGTATGCATGAAGAATATTTGTGTTAATGTCCTTGAAAATAATGGCTTAAGGGAGGACAGCTAAGAAGAGAAACTGTTTCTGTCATTGCTCCTAAAATTGCCTTTTTTTTTTTTTTAAGCTATGAGATTAGGAATAAGAAGTGTTACAACTAATTTTGGGGGAGGGGTTTCTTTTATCTTGCTCTATACAGTAGTAAACACTCTTGGAAGGAGATGAGGGTATAGTTCTTTCATACACTAATTGTACCATCCTTCCTCCACTCCTCTCCCTCCCCCACCACAATTTTGGGTCTTTACCTTATCTATGATGTGCCTTAAATCTTTTTTTTTTTAAAATTGATTTTAACTAGCACCACAGTTGCGTAGGCATGATTGCAGAACAGGCTACATCAGAGTATAGTTGTGGTATCTGAGAGCTTCTTCTCTAGTTCTTTTAAATGCTTAAGCAGTCATCTGCATGCATCTGAGTCTTGACTTCAGCCTTGTTTATAACCTTGATCTCTTCTCATTCTTGTTTGTCCTGAGCAGTTTATTGTACACTGTGAGAGTGCTTTTGCCATGGAAATAAGGGATTTGACCGTGAAAATGTATAAACATAGCACAACTATTTGCAGTGCAGGAAACTCAAATACAGAGCTATGCCTGAACAAGCATGAAGTTACACAGGAAACATTCTGATCCTGGTTTGATAGAATTCTGAGTGCTGTCTGTCGATACTCAGTTATGCAGGCATGCTTCTGGTTTTGGTTTGACTTAAAATTTGACAGAAGCAAAAATCTTCATCCTGTTGCTATAGGGTCTGGATGATGAATATCAAGAAGAAGGAGAGCTTCTAGGACAGTATGTCTATGACCAAGGAGGAGAACCACTGCAGATGTTTCCAGTGATGGTAGGTCTGGATGATAATATTTAAAGTGTCAGGAAAAAGATACTCATATTCTCTATGGTAGCGCACGATGAGCAGTGAAGGAAAAAGGCCTCCTTCTCTGTTGGACACTATAGAAACTGAGGTAAAAAATATCTACCGATCTGCCTCAAAACCTGTGGTCTAAATAGAGTAAGGGGAGGAAAGGCTTGTGCCTCCTAGACACAAATGGTGTGAAGATGCTAAACACATGAAGAGTCTGCCTCGTGCTGCTTCTGACTGCCTTCAGAAATAACTAGTTGTACGGTGAGGAAGGTTCTGTTCAAAGTGGCAGAAAGTTCCCAAGGCATGACTTAGTTCTTAATAAAAGCGGGTAGTTGCAGGAATCTAAGAAAGCAACTTTGGTTGCTCCTGTTTGTACCAGAAACCTAACTCTGGTTTGTGTGTTTGCTTTCTGCTTCTCCAGGAGAAAAGTGAAAACGCATTCCAAATAGTGGAACTGAGAATTTTTTCTAACTGGGGACACGCAGAATATACGTGCCTGTATCGGTTCAGAGTGCATGGGAAACCTGCCGAATAATCTCCTACACTACAGCTTGGGTTGGTTTTGTTGTTGTACATTTTGTTCTCAATTTGTATATACCGGAAAGCCTAGAACACTGGAATCTTTAAAGGATGAGGATGCAAGATAAATACTGCAGAACTATTGATCCTCTCATAAAGACAGAAGACTGTCAGCAGAACTGTATAAAAAATAACTTTTATTTGTTCTAATGCTCAGCTTGTAATTGCCAGTTCAGCTTATTATTTCTGTGTACATGCTGAGAGAAATAATGCATGCAAACTACTCTGGTTCATAAAGCCCAGTTGGCACACAGGTGACACTTATTTTATTACAAATGAATGTATAGGGTTTTGGTGGGTTTTTTTAAAGAATAAACGACACTTTCTGCAACTAGGAATCTGGTTGTTTTAAATCCAGGACTTAACTGCATACTTCTGTTAGCTTGGCACCATAAGCCGAAAACTGTGGTACATTTTAAACACTGACTGTGGCTAAAGGTGTCCTTCAGTTGACCCTTGGTTTTGCCCTTTTTGGTGGATCCCAAAGGGCTTCTTTGATACCTATTGAATATAATAAGTATTACTGTCAGGGAAAGTTAACACAACCAAAACTAATTTAAACACCAGCGACTGAGAATGCTTTACTGTAATTTGTGGCCATGAATTGCTCTAAAAGTCAGGGATAACTTTAAGTAACTGAAGTTATTTTAAAGGTTTTTACCATAGCAACTTGGCCAGTTTGTTCTTCTTTAGTGTTAAGTCCGAATTGACCTTGATGTACTGACTAACTGGATTGGAGCTGATAAGCCTGCTAAATTGTTCAGTAAATATTAGTATACAGCAATTAATCTTAATTTGTCAAAAGTGATCTCTTTGGGACAATAACTCCTTAGACTGGTTCATTGTTACGACGTTGTACTGGGGGAACGCAGTATGTGGAAAACACGACTGAGGTAAACCTTGCTACTTGCTGTTCTACAAGGGATTTCTGCTCAGTACTGCTGGATTGAAATACATGGGTGTTCTTTACATCATCCCCAGAAACCGTAGTCGGGTGTAAGATGACTAGAGCTGTGTCTTGCTCTCGGAAGCAACTTTTCCACATAGAATGAAATGAAGCTGCTTATTGCCCCCTTAGGATTGCGACTTTGGAGATCCTGAAATGTACTTGTATGTGGAATTTTTATCTTGCTGTTCCAACGCATTTTATAGTTACACAGGAACTGTTAACACATGGAACTGCTGACTGGTTTTCTGAATAGAGTTATGTATGTTGCACAACAGTCCTCGAATGTTTAAAAACAGTCTCCGGGTGAAGAACTTTTTTTCACTTGAGCTGGAGACAGAACCTATGGCCTACGCAGAGGAGCTAGATTACACATGTACAGGTGTTTTCATATTATAGGTTACATATTTAAAATTAGAATTATCCTGTATAAATTGAAATTAGGTAGCTGGGGTGGGAATATTTTGAATAACACTAACTTATTTTTAAAAAAGCAAGATAGGACTTTGTGCAATGTATTTTTGTAAATGCTTTTCAAAATGTCTGTTCTTTGCTGCCTCCAAACTGACCAGATGCTATTGAGATGTTTAAATAAAGAGGTTTAATTTTTGAAAGTGCATGTAATATTTGAAACAAGAAATAAAAGCTTCTTTTCTCTATTTTTTTTATCACCAGAGACTATCCATTGCCACAGTGTAGGCAGAACAGCCTTTCCCCAGGGCTGGTCCCCAGCTACAAGCGATTGCTGCCCCTGGCTGTGAGAAGTGGGGTCTCTGTTCTGGGAATAAATAGCTGGGGCTTGATTTTTAATTTTTTTTCCTCCTTTTCCCTCTCGGCGTAGCTGTGCAGCGGTGCCTTGTGCTCTTCAGCACACCTTGCCATTTTTGAAGAGAACCACAGGTCAGTAGCTGCCTGGTGCAATGCAGGTTTCAAACGTTTGTTTTTAAACCCCTGAGCCCCAGCAGCGCTCCTGCACTCCGTAACTCCCCCCCTTTTTCCCAGGCCCTGCCTTGC